AGAGAAGAGAAGAGAAGAGAAGAGGAGAGGAGAGGAGAGGAGAGGAGAGGAGAGGAGAGGAGAGGAGAAGAGAAGAGAAAGAAGAGAAGAGAAGAGAGAGAGCGCCAACACCAGAACAACTGGTCGTTATGAAGCCCACTGTGGCCAGCAAACCATCCTGATCGGGGGTGGGGCTGGCTGGCCAACCTTCCGCACCCCTTCCTCCCGGCCAGCCCACACCCAATGGGCCCCCACCACCTCAATCAGGGGCAGGGTGGGCTGGCCAACCACCTGCAGCCTCTCCCCACAGTTGGCCCCATCACCAATGGGCCCCCACCACCCTGATCAGTCCATGGCCCCTCCCCGCATCCAGCTCCACCCCTTATCGGCCCCCTGACTCCAATCTGGGAAAGTGCCAGCTGGCCAACCATCTATAGCATCTCCCCTAGGCTACTGGCCCATGATGGGCCACCTCCACATCATTCTGGGGCAAGGCCAGCCAGCCCACCACTCACAGCTCCTCCCACCAGCTGGCCTAACCTTGATCGGGCCCTGATCAGGGTGGGCCTGCCAACCAACCTCCCGCCATCTCCTCCCGACAGACCCGGCCCCAATCTGCTGATTGGGGCTGGGTTGGCTTGACCCCACCCATGAATGAATTCATGCAGTAGGGCCTCTAGTATATATATATGAAAGGCTAAGTGGCCGGCCAGTAAAGTATGACACACACTGGCCACCAAGGGGCAGGTGCTTAATGCAGGAGCTGCTGAGCAACAGCAACATTGCAGAGTGCCCTCTCACACTCTGGGACCCCTTGAGGGATGTCAGACTGCCAGTTTCGGCCTGTTCCTCGCAGACCAGGCTGAGAGATCCCACCTGCTGGAGGGACCCACTCACTCCACAGATGCCCTTCAAGCCCCGGTGCCGCCCCAGGTGCGATCGGCTGAAGAGGGACCAGGGGAGGTTGGCTTCAGGGCATGTCTGGCTCATCTTGCTCAGTCCCACCCTGTTGGCCCCTAATTAATTTCCTTTCAATGTGCATGAATCCATGCACCTGGCCTCTAGTTTACTTATAAAACACACTAGAGGCCTAGTGCATGAGATTTGTGCACTGGTGCAGTCCCTAGGCCTGGCTGGCGATTGAAGCACAAACATCTGGCATGGAAGGACAGGTCCCATGACCACCCTTCTGGGTCCTGGTCAGCACCTGGGTACCCAGGCACCTGCACGACTCCTCCACCTGAGTCATCAGGCTCCACTTGGCTCCCTCAGCACCTGGGAGTTGGGTGGCAGCCCAGCACCCCCCCCCCACCACCACCACCATTGCCTCTGGTTGCCCTGCTCGCACCTGCCTTGTCCTGGCACCGCCCACTCACCTGCT